TATGAGAATGAGAATATGTGTTGGTCAAGGTCAAATTTTTAGGTGGTGTATGGCACTAGAACTTGAATGTAGTACTTGGCAAGCTCTAGTTATCCGAGTTAATGGAACTATCTTGAAGTTTACACTTAGAACGTTTGCACTGATTACTTGATTAAATTGTGTTGGTGTCATAGATGATTTCAAGTTCAACACTAAAGAACCTAATAGGTTGATTGTTCAGTACTTTGGTGGTAATGAATTTATCAGTAAATCAGACTTAATGAGCAGATTCACAAAAAAAGTTTGGGCAGACAATGAAGACGATGCTCTTAAGTTCACCATATTTTATTTCATTCATACATATGTGTATTCCGGCGAAAGGACATCAAAGAGAATTCACTTTGATTTGGTTGAGAGTGGTGGTACAGGCAATGAAAGTTGATATAATTGTTGAAGATCAGAGCGATGAAAAATAACTTTATGGCATGTTGCATTTGTATCTAAACTATCAAATTGTATTCTACTGTTTTTATTGTCTGTTGCATTTTGTATTCATTTACAAAATTCATGTGGTATCTTGCTAAATTTTGAGTTTTTTAGGTGTAACTTGTATTTATTTTGTAGGTGGTATTCATTTCAAACTATGTATATGTTTAATTTTGTATTATATTTTAGGACAATAGATAAATAGTTTTACAGAATTTTATATGCTATTCTAAATTAGGCTTCATACAATTTTTATTTTTATTTTTTTGTATTCATTCTAACTATATGCCAACAAGTTTTGTATTTTTTTATGCTCACTTTGTATTTCAATATCATTTTGTATTTTAATCTCACTTTGTACACAAAACATAATGAATACAAAGACATGCAAAAAAGTAACTTATAGAGCACACAACACAGCTAAAACTAATGAATACAAAACAATCAAATAATAAAGAATGAATACAATCTGAGCTAACATCACTAATTGTTTAAAAGGAATACACATTAAAATTCAGTTGACTAAGCATCTTACTGAGCAACAATATAATTTGTTTTGTGAGAAAACATGTTTCGGTCATTATATGAGAATGAGAATATGTGTTGGTCAAGGTCAAATTCTCAGGTGTTGTATGGAACTAGAACTTGAATGTAGTACTCGGCAAGCTCTTGTTATCCGAGTTAATGGCAAAAGCATTTTCCTGAGTAAATTAGATTTGTAAGAAAAAATATTTAACTTGGCAAGCATATAAAATATATAAATTATGCCATAATGTAACTTATAAACTACATCACATAAAAACAAATTTATACATAATGTAACTTATAAATCAAACCTGACATATTCAATAATTATTATGATTTAATGAATACACCAAATATGGAGTAATGAATACAAAACAATGAAACAAAAGTGCATGAATACAATGAATACATTTAAGTACGTATCTTTACTTTAACTTAGAAAAAAATCAAATGGCATTACTATTTGTTAAAAAACAAATACTCCGCATATTTTCTTTGTATTCAAACTAAAAAATAAATAAATACCCAAGTCATTAACAAATACATAATTATAGATGTTAACAGTTTTTTGTATCCAAGTTAAAAATGTATATATTTACAATAGTCCTTGCATCAAGTAAAAACAAATATTGAAACATTAAAAACAAATTTGAACAAAACTGTATTATGCATATTTCAATGAAGTCTGCCAACATATATGTATACAAAAATAAATATTGAACCATTAAAAACAAACGGCCGATCAAAAAATCTTCAAACAATCCATTAACATTTTTCGTAATCAACAACCACAAAAAATTAAACAAATCCACCAAAACTAATTTTTCTTACGTTGTTCATAGTACATACAATTTACAATGAAAACAGATAAAGTTAACAATAATTTACAAACTTTCATATCAAAATTTTATAATCACTTAGAAAAAGATTAAGGATGAAGCAATTAACTAATACCTGGTCCAATTTGTATTCAACCAATTTGATCGAACTCCCAATAAAAAAATTCTTCTCCACAGTTGTTTGTCAGTGATTTTATTGTACTGTTTCGTTAAAATAATTCTCAACAAACAGAAAAAAGAAGAAGATTTCAATCAAAATATATGGAAGATCGATAATGATAGAACTCATCAGCTATGGAGAAGACCGATTAGTATTTAGTTTGAAATTTTGTAACTGCTGAGACTTTTAAGCAATTGTTCCTTTTTAAAAAAATTCTCTCCCCTTAATTTCTCCTTTTTGTTATTTAACAATTGTATTCTTTCAATTAAAACAAATAATAAAAACTTAAATAAGATACATAATAAATTAAAATTTTGACATTTTTACTAAATATTGAAAGTGTTGACATTGGATCCTAGGGGGGGGGTTAAATGTCAAAATATTGACATTTTGAAAAATTTCCCTATTATTAAAGATGACTGGCCTATTTCTTGTTACCATGGTTAGCTCGATAAGCGTTATGTAAAGTTATGTAGTATACTTTGCTCATTCTTAAAAGGTCATCACTATAACTACATAGAGTTACACTTACGTCTTAGTAATAATCGAATTTCATTATCTCTCCCAAATAATGAAAGAAGAGACTTTTACATGTTAAAACACTATTTTTGCTAAGTCTTTGATATTCTTGTTTAAGAGGGTATGTTCATATTTGTCTATGTACTCACATAAATGTACCCTTTAATTAGTTACTAATCTTTATCTCCTTTTCTTTGTTATGTTTCATGTACAACCGGAGGGCTGGAGTTTCTACTTTGGAACTCGTTTTTGACCTAAAATATTAGGCCAACAGCAATTAGGATCATCACAACGCTCGGAGTCTCGCAAATTAGGAGTCCAATATTTCTTAGCCTTTTATTTGAGTCTTTAATTATATTGTTTTGATATGTTGGCTAACCTTTACTTACAAGTTTTTAATATATTGCTTGGCTTTTATTTTGAAGTTTATTTACGTGAGCTAATAATATTTGTTTTATGAATTTAGTTGAGACACCTTTAGAACAAATGATACAAAAGATATTTTCTTAAAAAATGGGTTAGTATTTTTACTTATAACATTCTCTTAGGCTTCTTAAGTTGAAAAGAAGGGCTTATAGTTTTAAAAGATGCCCAAATGAAGTTCAAAAGGGTGAAATAATATTCATTTAGGTGTTTAAGTAGGAAAAATAAAACTCATGAATTGGGACTTCCAAATGAATTTAGAGGTATATAAAGGCTAAAAATAATTAACTTTTAAAATAATTAACTTGTGGAATTATATATTTTTAATAAGTAGGGAAATAGGCTTATATATTTTGTCAACAAAAAAAAAATATAATTGTAGAATAAGTCTCAATAGTTAGGCCTATTTTTATACTCTTTACATCACCCCTTATAAAATGTATTGACTAGTCTTATTTTTCGAATCAAGCATCGCTAAAATATTTTAATCTTGTGACACGCTATTTCAAATTTTATTTTTATACTCTTTACATCACATCTTTATAAAGAATATTGATTA